ACTACAACACGCTAATAGAGCTTTTGAAAGCTTTGGCAACTTATAAATGGAAAAAAGCGATGACAAATAGTGTGAAAAGCAGAAATTACAAAAGAAAAGCTAATTCTGAGAGAGTAGTTTCTTATCCTGGGAAAAGGAATTTTAGTCTCTTTTCCTGGGACAAGAAGGTACTTTTGCCAGGCACCAAGGCCCACCCCTGTAATCCCAGCAGCTGGTGAGACTGATGCAGGAGGAGTTCAAAGCCAGACTCAGAAATTTAAGTGAGGCCCTAAGCAACTCAGTGAAACCCTGTCCCTAATTAAAATATTAAAAAGAGCTAGATATGTGGCTCAGTGGTTAAGTGCCCCCTGGGTTCGATCCAAGGACCCCAAACAAAAAGTCACTTTCCTCTTTTCCTCTTTCTCTTAAAAAAACAAAGCAAATAAAGTGCTACTTTAGAAACTGGAAACCTTGCCTTGCTTGGTCATGCATTCATTCAACCAACAGGTTTTCATCCAGTGCCCACTCAAAGCCAAGTTTTGTCAGCAGAAAGTCAAGGAGCTCTCATTCTTCCACGCAAATAAACAAGTAGACAATATTATTTCTAGATGGTGCTAAAGTGCTTTGAAAAAATTAAGAAGATCAAACGAGGCTGGCTGAGGAGGGAGGCAACTGTTCTAGATCACAAAAAGATTCTCTGAAACCCAAGCGAAAAAGGAGTCAGTCATGCAAAAATTTGGAGAAAGGGGATCTTGAAAAGAAGGGCTAACAGTAGAAAACCCTTGGGGCAAACAGATATATGACATTCTCAAAAACTTCAGGAAGGCCAGTGCAGCTGCAGCAGAACGCAGCAGGGTTCACTAAGGGGGGACTAGTGGGAGAAGGTGGAGGAAGGGGACAGGCCATGCAACCCACAGAGAAAGTGGGATTATATCTGAAGAGCTGAAGGGCAAAGGAAAACATTGGTAAATTCTAAGCAGGGGAGTGAATTTTTTTTTTTTTTTTTTGGTACCAGGGATTGAACTCAGGGGCACTCAACCACCCAGCCAAAAATCCCCAGCCCTATTTTGTATTTTTATTTAAGAACAGGGTCTCACTGAGTTGCTTGGCACCTAGCTTTTGCTGAAGTTGTCTTTGAACTCGGGATCCTCCAGCCTCAGCCTCCAGAGCCGCTAGGATTACAGGCATGCGCCACCACATCAGGCCTGACTTACTTCTAAGCCCTCCAGAGCTATAGTCACAGCTCCTAGAGAAATTCAGGCCGGTGAAATCCTTTACAGATCCAAGCACTTTACCACCTTTCGTTAAAAATGATACACTGAAAACTGTCAACTCTAACAAAACACCTTTAGCCTACAGGCCCTGGCTGGCTTTTCCATCATTGTAGGCTAAAATTCAAAATGATACCTCTCCCTTTTCCAGAGATTTATACCTGTGGGAGCACCTAGTGGTTGAGTTGATAGACCATAGGGAAATGCTGAGGTAATTTACAAAGGGAACTGATCCTGAACCTCCATTTGAATCTCACCTGCACATCTTTTGCCTCTGCTTTTCCTATCCTAAGGTATCCTAAGATATCCTATCCCTTGCCACATTTGTTGCTTTCTTTTTCCCATATGCTCAAAACTAAATATTCTGAACGTGAGCTATTTGGCCAAACTGAAAAGTATTACATGTAAACAATCCCACAGCTAATGTTCCCGCATAAGGCACTTCTTTACAAGGACCATAGCTGGCCAGATGTGGTGGTACACACCTGTAATCCCAGAGACTCGGGAAGCTGAGGCAGGAGGATTCCAAGTTTGAGCCCAGCCTCAGCAACTTAGTAAGGCCCACACAACAGAGTGAGACCCTGTCTCAAAATAAAAAATTAAAAAAAAAAAAATAGGCTGGCTGGGGATATTGTTCAGTGGGTTAAACACCCCTGGGTTCAATCCCCAAAGCTCCCTCCGCCAAAAAAAGGAATAGCTGAATTTGAATTAGGATAACTTAAGAGTCCTTTTTGAAACTAACTTGCAGCTTTGATTAATTCAAAGCAATTTCTTTTACCGACCTATATGCACACAAGAGGGGGAAACCTAAGATGTGACTGCATCCGTTGTATACATGTTTGTGCTAGAAGGTAGAGGAAACAGCATCAGAAACTGGATGACTAACAAGATCCACCTGCACAAAGGAGCAGTGGGAAAGAACCAAAGCTGAGTAGACCAAGAGGTGTGGGAACTTGTGTCTCTGTTAATATCTGATGCAACAAGCCCTTCACTCCCCTACCCCACCCCCCAAATAAAGTCACCAGTCGACCTTTCCCACTGGCTACAGTCTGGAATACCATCCAGATATTAAGCAAAAATCAACCTTTCTTCTGTGAACAGAACAGCAGCTCATCAGCACTACTCACATCCCCAACCCCCACGCACCTAGAAACATCCAGTGGCACAGAACAGTGAACAGCAGCCCTCAAATGAGCTGGGGTGGAGCAGGGAGAGAGAGGGCTGCCAGTCTCTGAACACCAACTGCTTCATACAGTTGAAAACAAACTACACTGTGCCCTTAGACGTTCCAAAGCCTAAGAATGTGACTGGTGACTCAGTGATCTCAGGATTGCATGGAGTATGGGCTATTTACCTGATCTTGTACTTCACATCCAACTTAATGCCTTTTATAGCTCATTGCCACCAACACCCACTAGACCAGAGTTTCTAATCAGCCACCTGCATCACAATCTTATGGACCACTCATTAAAAATGCAGATTCCAAAGCCTTCTGCTCCAGAGCTCCCAAGTGGAAGACAGAAAATAAAAAGTAAAAATAAAAGTGTTCAGGAGGCTGAGGTGGGAAGATGGCAAGTTTAAGGCCAGCCTGGGCAACTTAGCAAGACCCTGTCTGAATATGAAAAATTTTAAAAGAAACAGGCATGGTGGAGCATGACTATAATCCCAGTGATTTGGGAGGCTGAGGCATGATCACAAATTTGACACCAGTGTCAGTAATTTGGTGAGACCCTCAGCAACAAAGTGAGACCCTGTCTCAAAAGAAAATGTAAAAAAAGGATGTAGCTCAATTGTAAGGAGTCCCTGGGTTCCATCCTCAGTACCAAAAATAGATAAAAAGGTTAGGGTGTACCTCAGTGGCAGAGTGCTTGCCCGGCATGCATAGATCCTGGGCTTAACCCCCAACGGAAAAAAAAAAAAAAAAAGAGAAAAGAAAAGCAGATTTCTGTGCCCCACTGAAAATAAACACCTCTAGAATGGCCTGACAAACTATTTTTAATCACTACTGGGATCAGGGTAATCTTTTTGTACATTTAAGTCTGAGGACCTCCACCCAAAAGCGAGGTTTCTCAAACTGTGGGTCATGACCCATTTGGTTAGGAAATCAAATTCATGAGTCATACCAGCAGTTCACTTTTTTTTTAAATGAAGTATAAAAAATTAAACAGAACACACTGCAGGTAGTAAGTGCAATAATTACTGTTTCCTGGAACTTATTTCAGTTGGGGACCTGTACAGTGCAGTAAATGTATTCCTCATGGTGGATCCCATTCAGTGTCTGAATATTATGTTCCTAGAGGAAATAAGGAAAATAGCATTTTTATACATGCTGTTTATTTTCTTCTTTTTGACTGAGGATTAAATCCAATGATGCTTTACCACTAAGTTACATCCCCAGTCCTTTTTTTTTTTTTTAATTTTTAGACAGGGTCTTTCTGTTGCCAAGACTGGCCTTGAACTTACTATCCTCCAGCCTCAGCCTCTGGTGTGGATGGGATTACAGCAATGTGTCACAGCACCAGGCTTCTATCCCATTTTCCACCCCTAACTCTAAGCTTCTTGATTTTAGTACAAGCACAAAGATAAAGACAGATTCAAGAAATAGTGTCACTGAATCCCAAGTTAATAAGGCAAAGCCCAACTGAAGGGTGAGCCCAAGACCGCTTGCTACTCTATGGTGCAGGTGGGGACAAAGGGTGGTACCAAAGGGAAGTTTACACAACTCTCCTCAGGATAGGCCTTATCCCTGGGGGAAAGAACCTGTAGCCACTCCTATCACTCAGTTCAGAGAATGAAAATGCTCCTCATTAGAGAAATGATAGTCACAGCATTAAGTACTAAGGAAATGAGGAACAGATGGACGGAACTCAGATTAGACCCACCTCTGAGGTCCTATGGCAGAGACTAGGTAAGAACAAAGGCAGGGAGGGGTGAATCCAATCTCACTCATCACAGATCCTGTGACACCAGAACCAAGAGACCACTGGGGAGCACCAAGCTTGTGAGATTAAGTCCCATGGCACAGTTAGTGAGATTTACTTAATTTCTCAACCCCATAGATTCCCTCACTCCTCTAACATTCTATATGTGGGGTACCAGAAAGACCTCTGCCCTTCTTGTCCAAAGACATGGAACGGGGAACCCAATCTTGCTGGAAAAGAGAGGAACAAGGGGAGAAAGAAAAGAAGTGGGAGGGCGGGGGGAGATGAGTAGCTAACTATCTTGTTAGCTTTATGACACACCAAAGACAAAGACTCACTCAAAAGACCCCCCACACCACCACCACCACGTTGCATGGAGAGCAAATAAGCAAGGAGATCAAAAAGCAAAAAACCCTGCAAGACTCAGGAGCAGTTCCGCGTGCTATTAGCAGAGACCTGGCTGTGGGTCAGCTATACACCGATCAGATAAAAACGGAGGACGCACTCTTAACTCTTGTAGCTAGGAGTGAAGTCAGAGATGGCAGTCCCCAGGACAACAGGTCCAAAAACCAGATGGCGTCCCCCTCCCCGGCCCCAGACAGGAGAAAAAGCCCACCATTTGAGGAAAAGCACCCCGAAGAGGTCAGCGGCCAAGCAGTAAGAACCTGAAGCAGAGAGGGGTCGGGGCTGCCCCTCAGCGCCAGCCCCTGGGAGATCCCCGCGGCAGAGGCCCCCACATTCCGTTGGGCAGGAGAGCTGGCGCCCACCCTTTGGCAAGCACCGTGGGGAGGCGCCGGGAAGCGGCCAGGCAGGAACTCGCTGCGGTTACCTCGGCTCAGGGCTGGCGAAGCGCTCCCGAGAGTTTCGAGGACAGCCAGTCCCCCAGGGCCGCGTTCCCGACCCAAGGGTCTCCAGAGAACACGCAGCGTCACGCGGGGACAGAAAACGTCCGAAGCCCCCACCCTGCCTGACCCATTAGCGTTCAAATCCTCAGGGACGACGCTGACAAGGAAGCAGAGACTCGGTCTCCCCGTCCCCAGACTTGCCGGGCTCCTCGCCAGGGGGTCCCCAGCCCCGAACCAGGGACCCGCGCCACCTGGGCTCCTCCGCCGCCGCCACCGGGCCGGGCAGTGTTTGTAAACAAACCGGTCACGTGGCCCCGGCGGCCCGCTCCCCGCCCCCGGCTCCTCGGCCCCCACGGGGACCCCACAAGGGACCTCGCAGCCGTACCGCCGGGCCCAGGGCGCTGCGCCCTCCGCGGGATCCGGGCCGGAGGGAGCTGCGGACGGGTGTCCAGTGCCCAGTGCGAAGAGCCCGCGCTGACAGCGCGCCCTACGCCCACGCGCGCCCAGCCCGCGCCGGGCTCCCGGCTCCCGGCTCGCTTACCCGGCAGCAGGCTGCCCCGTCCGGCCAGCGCCGGGCTCGGCTCCGCGGGGGTGCGCAGCAGCGAGGGACAGCCCGGCTGGATCGCCCGCTGCTGGCGCGCTCTTAAAGCCACAGTCTCCGCCACTGCCGCCGCGGCCGCCACTCTGCATCCCTTCAAGTCCGGGCCGGGGGCTGCCCCGTGACGGACGCGCCCCCGCGCCTATCCCCTCGGCTCAGCACATAGCAACACGACACGGGTTGGCCTGGCACGGCCGCAGCCCATCCGCACAGAGCCAATCAGCGGAGGACGGAACTCCGCCCCCTGCTTCCCCTATCTCCCACCCCCCACCCCTCTGCCCTGGCCGGTCTTGGGTGCGGGGAGTGCAGCGAGTCCTGGGTCCGGCCGGTCCCGGCAACTAGCGAGCGTTGCTGGAAGAAAGGGTGATGAGCATGGGTGGGCTTTCTGCGCCTGGGAGGAGGCTGTACCCAGGTCAAGACTGGGAGTCCCAGAACCTGGAGCTGGGGAGGGGGATTCGGAGTATTTCCTACCTAGATGGCCAAAATAGTAATTCCACCCTTACACCTGAAGCCATTCCTAACCCGGGGTGTAAGTTGACAGAAGTTGCCCTCTGGAGCTGGGGCAGTTGAATAGTACCAGACCCAGCTCCCAACCCTGCTCCAAGCAAGGCATTTCCCCTCCTCTCTCGGCCCTGCTTGTAATTTCAGCGAGTGAAATGTAGGAAAGAAGGGGCTTTAGGGGAATTGGAGGATCCTGTAAGTGCTGATTTTCCAGGACTTTTAGAGGGAAAAGAGGTTGGTTAGCCCAGGAGAGAGTAAGATGGTCAGAGTGACCAGAGGGGAGGAGCCCACGTTCTAGGTCAGTGGGGTGGTGCTTTTCAAGGAAGAGAGGTTAAAAAATAAGCTCCAGGCAGTCGGGAGATCCAGGGAGGTACCAGGTGGGTGGAGTGGGGCAGAGTCTCCCAGCAGGAAAACAGGTCAATTTGATAAAGAATGCTAGCCAGGGAAAGGGAAGAGAAGAAGTCCAGCCCTATCTGTCAGCCACTGGAGTTCTGCAATTCCTCCGAGGAAAGCACGTGTTTTAACTGCCAATTTAGGAAAGGAGAAAATAAAAATAAAGGAAACCACGTTTCATTGAGCAGCTATCAGGATGTGAGATGCTTCTGGAGGTCCAGAAGACTCCTACCTCTGTCCATACACCAGTTTGCACATAAATTCACAGTGGTGCTGGGTTAGACACCCAGGTGACTCAAAACTTCACCTTTAACTGCACTCAGCTGTTTTTAAAATATATTTGGTCGACCAAATTATATTCAATTAATGTATATTGCACGGTCCAGTGTGAATTCAGGCCCAGTGTTAGTAAAAACAACAACAAAACGCTTCAAAGACCTCAGTATCAGCCTTTGATTTGCAGTTTCAGTGTAAGGGCACTGTCGTCGAGTATAACTGACTAGTTTGGAAAGTCTAAATCATGGAAAGTCTAAATTGAAAGTCTAGTTTTAATTTCTGATTCGCCAATTAAGAACAGTTTAGCATTTAATCCTTAAACTAAGAAGAGGTGATGGATTTTTTTTTTTTTTTTTAATCAAAAGCTTGATTTCTACCTCTGATCTGCCTCGTGGGCAAGTTTCTTTGTCTCCTTAGGCCTTGTTTTCCACAGTTTAAAACAAGGAAGATTAGGGTCATTTGCCTTGTGTATGTGAACCCCTGGGTTCCATACCAGCATTGCAAAAATGAACAAAATAAGGAGGACTGAAATAAGATATTTCTCAAGCCCCTTGTAACTCTGAAGTTCTAAATAGTCAAACTTGTTACAACATTTCTGCAATATTGTGTTAGGGACATTTGTGTTATTCCTTTTGCCAGATCACCACCCCCTAACAGTAGATTCTGCATTGGTTTAACACCCTAGGATATGGGTATTATATAACAAGATTGGTGGCTACTGTGTCTGTTTAAATAAAAGATAATGTTAGCTAAAAAAGACTAGCCTGGTGCAGTGGTTCACAGGGAGCTCTGAGGACCCCTGCAGGCCTGCTCTGTGTTTGCAGAAGAGGCAATAGGACCACAGGGCCTGAGGACAATAGAATCAGCCAGTCAGCTATCAACAACAACATTTTATTACTATTATTATTAAACCTGATAATGGCTCCTCCCAGTGAAAAAATGCCAAGTGTTGTGAGTTGACAAGGAAGAAGGGAGAAGTGAAACAAGAAGTAGGTGAAACTATTCTCTTCCTCTCTGAACCCAGGCACATTTAGTTGTCCTCAGTATACATTCCACCAGTACCCATCATGTGCTTGATTTGGACATAATCTGAGAAACCACTGAAAGGAGAGAAGCTAAGACCAAACAAAAAATGATTATTTATCCTGGAGGAGGAAAAAGAGATGAAGCAATATAGAGATATCAACAAATGTATTTGGAGGCAGACAGCTCTTTTAAAACAAGTGAACAAACAAAAATTTTGAAAGATTCCTAGCCTAACAGATTATTCACCTGGCTTTGAAGAGTACACCTGATCCCTCTAGGAAGTCAAATTTATTCATTCCTAAAGCCTTCAAAGCCATTCTTTTCCAGCATCTTCTCTCACCAATCCTGTGTTCCCACTGTTACCATGTAGATGCTACTACTACTATGAACAGGTCACTTTTATGTGCCCATCTTAATCTCTCCTAGCATTCGAAATGATTAACTACCTCTTCCTTTCCCTCTCCCATATACTGATACATCAGCAGGTCCTGTCAGTTTCACACCAAAACATACATTTGCTCTGAACACATCTCCACATCTTTCTCTATTGCTTCCACTCAGGGCTGAGCCACCAAGATCTTGGTTTTTTTTGTTTTGTTTTGTTTTTTGTTTTTGTTTTTGTTTGGTTTGGTTTGGTTCTAGGGATGGAACTTAGGGGCACTGGACCACTGCCATATCCAGAGCCCTACTTTGTATTTGATTTAGAGAAGGTCTCACTGAGTTGCTTAGTGCTTTGCTTTTTGCTGAGGCTGGCTTTGAACTCGGGATCTTCCTGCTTCAGCCTCCTGAGCTGCTGGGATTACAAACATGCGCCACTGTGCCCAGCCCAAGGGGTAAGCAACAGCCACCCACCAGATCTCTCTGCCTCCACTCCATTTTCTATGAAGCAGCTAGATGATACATCTTCAAAACAAACTCATTATGGTGACCCACAGGTCTTCCCATCTGTCCCTTGCTCACCTTGCTCCAAACTGGCCTTTTTGTTCCTCAGATATTCCAGGTCTGGTCTTGTTATAGGAAATTTTATAATTACCCCTCAGAACTTATAAGAGGAATTTACTTGATGCTTTGACTATATCCTTTGCGGCTTTGAAGCTTACACTTTTTTTTCTCTCTCCCTGATCTTCTTTTCCCTAAACTTCTCCTCCCTGATCTTCTTTT